AGATAAAGGTTTTTTGGACTCCTTCGAAAGACAAGGTTTTATTTGTGTTTAATTTGGTCTCCGGTTGTGCGGGGCTACGATTGATTATGGCTCGATTTCGGGTTACGGAATCAGCATAAGAATTAACTTTCTCACAAAATTGCGAAGCGACGACGGATCCACTCAAAAAGTTGTATGAGACAACGAATCGAGAATAATGTGCCGAATTGTTATATTTATGTATTTGGATTCTTAGCCCTTCCCCGATTAATTCTTGTTTGATTTTGTTAAATTCGTTTTCATTATTGTTGATTGCCAATTGTAGATGTTGTATGACTTTATTTAATGAAATTTAATGTCCTTTAGGACTTATTTCAAAAAAATTGCTTGTACCTCTTCAAAGTTGAGTGCTTGGAGTAGGGACAAATTCGGGGACTTTATCAAGCAAATGAAGGACTGTAGAGCAAGAATGGATAGCCTTATGCAGGAAACTCAATCGGATGAAGTGATCGCGCAAATGAGGGCCCTTGATGATCGTATGGATGAGTTGGAGCGTAGAGAAGAGATGTATTGGAAGCAACGAAGCCGTCAAGAGTGGTTAAAAAATGGCGACAAAAATTCTACCTTTTTCCATATGAAGGCAAAGCAGCGATCAGAAAGAAATAATATCAAAAAAATAAAAAATGCGGCTGGTGACATTTTTGAAGATGAAGATCAGATTTCTGAAATCTTTGTTGACTATTTTGATAGTCTCTTTGCTTCGAACAGTCAAGTGGAGGTCGAGCCGGTTATTGACAAGGTTGAGGAGATTGTAACTGATAGACAAAGGAGTACGATTGCTAGCCCTTTTACCGCAGACAAAGTACGTACCACTCTTTTCCAAATGCATCCCACTAAAGCTCCCAGTCTGGATGGTATGTCAGCTATTTTCTTTCAAACATTCTGGGAAATAGTTGGTATTGATGTTGTTGCAAAAGTGCTTGATATTCTGAATAATAATGGTGACATAGGTGCTATTAATCAGACTCACATTGTGCTAATCCCGAAAAAAAAAATTTGTGAGTCTCCTGTTGATTATAGACCTATTAGTTTGTGTAATGTGTTATATAAAATTGTCACCAAAGTGCTTGCTAATCGATTGAAAGTAGTTCTTCCCTATAGGATTCATGAGTCGCAGAGTGGTTTTGTTCCGGGTAGATTGATCACGGATAATGTATTAGTTGCATATGAATGTTTTCATTACCTCCGGAAAAAGAAGAAGGGAAAAAAGGGCTACTTGGGACTTAAATTGGATATGAGCAAAGCATATGACCGTGTGGAGTGGTGTTTTTTTGGAAAAAATGATGTTAAAATTGGGTTTGCCGGAAATATTTGTAGATTTGGTGATGAAGTGTGTAAGTTCGGCCTCTTTTGATGTACTTGTAAATGGGCAGCCATCTCGTATTTTTAAGCCTAACCGAGGGCTCAGACAAGGTGATCCTCTCTCTCCTTTCCTTTTTATCATGTGTGCTGAAGGTTTGTCTGCGTTGCTCAGAGATGCTGAAAATAGACGTCTCATCCATGGAATTAAAATTGGTCGAAATGTGAGCCCGATTTCTCACTTATTATTTGCGGATGATAGTCTATTGTTTGTGAGGGCTAATGAAGATGAGTTCGACAATGTGCTTAGTATTCTTTCTACTTATGAAGTTGCCTCCGGACATAAACTGAACATGGATAAATCTGAGGTGTCCTTTAGCCGAAACAGAGAACAAGAACGGAAAAACACTCTTCAGATGAAGTTATCTTTTAAGGCTGTCGAAGGACATGAAAAATATTTAGGGCTCCCAACGTACATTGGTAGCTCTAAGAAACAGGTTTTCCAGAATATTCAGGATAGAGTTTGGAAAAAACTAAAGGGGTGGAAAGAAAAATATTTGTCTCAAGCGGGACGGGAAGTGTTGATCAAGTCAATAGCTCAAGCAATCCTGACGTATGCAATGCAATGTTTCTCAATTCCGGTAAGCATTCTTAATGAAGTTGAGCAGTTGTGTCGAAATTTCTTTTGGGGACAAAATGGTGACAAAAGAAAGATGAATTGGGTGGCTTGGGAAAAAATGTACATCCCGAAGATAAATGGTGGCTTTGGATTTCGAAATATGAGAAACTTCAATAGAGCCTTATTAGCAAAACAAGTTTGGCGGGTTGTTACAAATGAAGACTCTTTGATGGCTCGTGTGCTTAAAGGGAAGTATTTCCCAAAGTCGTCGTTCTTGGAGGCCACGGTTGCTTCGAATTCTAGCTACACTTGGAGGTCAATTCTTGGTGCAAGGGATGTTCTTTTAAAGGGACTCCGAAAGATTGTTGGGAACGGTGCGTCAATTGACATATGGAAGGACCCTTGGCTCCCAAATGTTCCCGATTTTTGTATTGTAGATTTGGGGTTCAGAATGTGATGGATGCTAAGGTGGTCCGTGATTTGTGGGATGGAAGAAGCTGGGATATGTCGTTGCTTAATACACTCTTCTCACCATTTGAAGTGCAAGAAATTTGCAATATACCAATTCCTCATTTTGACAGCCCCGATCTGTGGACTTGGCAGCACACTAAGGATGGGCACTTCACTGTTAAAAGTGCCTACAACTTGATCACTATGCAACAGGCTCATGATAAGGCTACTACGTCCCTGACTTCATCTGATTTTGATTGGAATTTAATTTGGAAAGCTGAGGTGCCTCCTAAGATCAAGAATTTTTGTTGGAGAGCGGTGAAAGGTGTTGTTGCAGCTCGTGTTGCGCTTGTTAACAGAGGTATGAGTGTTGATCCGGTCTGCCCGATGTGTGGTGAGCTTCAAGAGGCTATACTCCATATGCTTGTGTATTGTGGTGAGGCCAGAATTATATGGTATTTATCCCCTTTAAGAGTGCAAGTAGAGAACTATGGAGGGAACAACTTTAGGGAGTGGTGCTGCGAGGTGAAGGCTGCTCATAAATATCACGCTTGGTGGAATATTTTTTGGAGTATTGTTTGGGGTTTATGGTTGCGTAGAAACTGCTGGATTTATGATCATAAAAAGAAGGATGTGCTAGATACCATCCATAAGGCAGTGGGGATAGTTGGAGAATATGAACAAGCTTGTGATCCTGCTCATTCCATCAGCGCTGTTGAACCTCTAACAAACCAATGGTGTGCTCCACCTCCTGCTATCATCAAGGTAAACTCTAATGCTGCTCTGTTTAACACCAATCATGTGGGCTTTGGGGGAGTAATGAGAGATAATGTAGGGGATGTTGTGGCTGCTACTTGTTTGCAAATTGTGGGAAGGTTCGATGTGGACGTGGTTGAGGCTATGGCTATGAGGCACGCTTTGAAGATTGCCATGGAGTCGGGTTTTGTGAGACTTTGCTTAGAGACCGATAATCTCAAGCTGCATTCTCACTTGAAGAAGAGCAAATATGATCAGACGACTTTTGGCATTGTGGTGAAAGACATCTTGACACTTGCTAGCTCCTGCCACTCGTGTGTGTTCGAGTTTGTGAAGCGTGAAGGCAACAAAGTGGCGCATAGCTTAGCTAAACTTAGTAGTACTTTTGATACTCTGAGAGTATGGTTGGAGGAATATCCAAGTGGTATTCATGAACTTGTCATGGCTGATAGCAGCTCTTCTTCTACTTAATAAATGTTGAGAATGCAATGTTTCCCGTCAATGGCTGAGAATATATATATATATATATATATATATATATATATATATATATATATATATATATATATATATATATATATATATATATATAGGGGAGGGATCCGGTGAGAATAGGTTCATATGTGAGAATTCATACTTATATGAGAACTAATTTTAAATTTAGAACATGTGAGTAAAAGTTTAGAACATACGAGTAAAAATTTAGAACATGCGTCTGAAATTAAAATTTAGAACATCTGAGTAATAATTTAGAACATCTAAGTGAGTAATATGTTTAGAACATTTGATTTAAGAATTAGAAAAAGTGATTAAAAATTTATAAAATCTGCTTTATGAAATTTTAAACATATGAGTAAAATTTAGAACATTTGATTTAAGATTATGAACATGTGAATAAAAATTTAGAACAAACAAATATAGAATATAGGAAGTGTGAGTAAAAAATTTAGAGCATACGAGTAAAAATATAGAACATATGCTTTAAAATCTGGAACACATAATTAAAAATCTTAGAACACACATTTTAAAATTTAGAACATATAAGTTAAAATTTTGGAACAAGTTATTTAAAATTTATGAAATTAAACTTAACTAATTTATGGTTTAGAACATGTGAATACTAAATTAGAACATTTGATTTAATTTAGAACACCTAAGGAAAAGTTTAGAACATACAAGTAAAAATTTAGAACATAAAGAGTGTTCTCACATAAGAAAAATTCTCACAAGAGCCTCCCCCTATATATATATATATATATATATATATATATATATATATATATATTTGAGAATTGGAATTGAAACCTATTGCAACCAATTTCAATTCGGTTCCAAAAATTGAAAATTGAGAATTGAAATTGAAACCGTTTGCAACTGATTCCTTAATTTATTACCCTAAATTAGAACCATTAGATCTAACTCCATTTATGGGCCTGTCGGTTCTTTACCGATTCCAATTTCAATGGAGAGTCCCTGTAATTGTACGTCACCCCTAAATCCAATATGTTATCTTGGTTTCATAAAAAAAAAATATGTTATGTGTGAAATTGTGAAGGGTGATTAACAATATACGAATTTTTTTACAAGAATAAATATTTAGTGGATTGCACAAGTATTTTCTTGTAACATAATTAGAGGTCGTTTGGTTGGATCGGTTAGAATGGTCATGGAGTTAGAATCCATTCCATATATTTTTTGGTTTATTGAGTTTTTTTTTTAGTAATGGAATCTCATATATAAGACTACGAATCTATTCAATTTAGTTTAGCTCCAATCAATTCAATTCAATTCAATTCAGTCTAGTCCAGCTCTTAATTTCCTTCTCTTATAAAATATTCATTTAAGCTCTATTCAGTCCAGTTCAATTCAGTTCAGTTCAGTAAATGTGAATAGTACATATATTAAAATCATTTGGTTTCTAAGAGCATCAATGGCAAACTACATGTTCTTGCTTTGCCACATCAATTTTTTAAGATAAACACTTTTCAGCAACAATGTGTTTAAATGGGGTAAACTACAACTAACATCTCCTAGTTTGCAAACAATAATTTTTTTTAAAAAAAAAATAAAATTGTGCACATGTTATGATGTTACAATATGAGTAGATTTTTTTTATTTTTTTTAATCAAAGATGTAGCTTGTTTGAGCTATAGTTGCTTAAATTTTTGTTCTTTGATGATAATCCATTCTATTTTATTCATGAAGTACACAAAATATAATTCTTTCTAACAAAAAACCAAACAACTTTAGACTAGTATGAGATTTAAAAATTCATATATTTTAGTATGAGATTCCAAACCAATTCAATAATATCTGATAAACCAAATAACCCTTTAGTGGATTATACACTACACAATAATCTCTAATCATATACCAATTGAATATTGGTGTAGTAGTGATCGGGGCTACACTTGGTAGGGAAGACCTGTATTTGATCCTCCGCAATAACAATTAAGAGGGGGTGAAAGGGTGAGACGGGTGGAACACAAAAAAAAAAAAAAAAAAAAATCTCTAATCATATAATCCTAGTCCTTTTTAAAAAAAAAATAAAAAAAAATCTAGACCTAGTTTTGGGATAAAATTAGAGATTTCGAAAAGCCCAACTCAATTTTCCATATCAATCTTCCAAATCCCGCACAAATCTAAATTACATTGGGAATTTCAAGAGTCACCAAATTCAAAAATTAAAAAAAAAAAATAGAGTAAAATTTTTACAGATACTACAAACTCTACTTCGGAATTCTCTGCAATTTTCTCTAAATTCATTCAATCTCTCTCTTCATATTTTCCGCTTGTTTGTGGATAATTTCTCAAAAATGGGAGTGAAAGAAGTAGAATGGCCGGCAATTGGAATCGATCTCGGAACCACTTATTCATGCTTAGGAGTTTGGAATCACAACCGTGTCGAAATCATCACGAATGATCAGGGTAACAGAACGACGCCGTCTTGGGTTGCCTTCACCGAAACTGAACGTCTTATTGGTGATACTGCTAAGAATCAAGTTTCAAGAAACCCTACTAGCACTATCTTTGGTTTGTTCTTTTTTTTTTTTTTTTTTTTTGTTGTTTAATTATAATCGCAACAATTAGACTTTTGCATCTGAATGATTATATTTATTGTGTTATCTTGCCTTATTTGCCGGTCTCGAATTAATCAAACTTATGATGTTTTTTTGTATTCAAGGGTTAGGATGACTAAATTTGTTCATTAGTCTACCTTTGTTGTTTAGATGCGTCATATAATACAAGTATAGGTTGTTATGTCAGTTGATTACTTAGTTTTAGGAATATGTTGAGAAGTGTCTGGTTAATTATGTACTTGGTAATTTGGTATTACAAGAGTAGGCAGATTTTTAAAGTTTTTGTTGAGTGTTACGAATTATTTGCTATTGGGACATTCACTTTGAAGCTGAATAATGGAGTACATATATTTGCTTGGTGTTTTAATTATAATGATGATTATATTGAGGTCTTATGTTGAACGCTGTCGAGTTCTGATCTGGACTTGCTTTAAACATGTATATACCCTGCCCTTTTTGGCCTGGCATTATTCTGTTTTCGAGTTTTTTTTTACGAGTTTGCTTATGGTGCATTGGTACTACTATTGAGTGTTAAGACTAGAGGAGGCCTATTGTATGCTGTGCTTTCAGTCTTGTATATAATTGGGTTTTGAAAAACTTCAAAAATATTTAATTGGCCGTTTTAACATTCTATGTTGCATCCTAATTAATTACAGATGCAAAGAGGCTTCTTGGTAGGAGATACAATGATGAAAGTGTTCAGAATGATATGAAGTTATGGCCTTTTAAAGTCGTTGCTGGTCCTGATTGCAATGAAGATCAAAAGCCGTTGATTGCAGTGACATACAAAGGTGAAGAAAAGAAATTTGCTGCAGAGGAGATTTCATCTATGATTCTTAGGAAGATGAAAGAAACTGCAGAGGCCTATCTTAGCACACCTGTACACAATGCTGTTATCACTGTACCTGCCTACTTCAATGATTCTCAGCGCCAAGCAACTAAAGATGCTGGTTTAATTGCTGGGCTCAATGTGTTGCGCATCATCAATGAACCTACAGCTGCTGCCATAGCCTATGGTCTTGACAAGAACTCAAGTAGCTCCACGAAGAATGTGTTGGTTTTCGATCTTGGAGGTGGGACTTTTGATGTGTCGTTAGTCTCAATCGAAAAGGATTTGTTTGAAGTGAGAGCTGTTGGTGGAGATACTCACCTTGGTGGGGGTGATTTTGACAACAGGTTGGTTAGTAACTTGGTGGAGGAGTTCAGGAGGAAGCACAACAAAGACATAAGTGAGAAGCCTAAGTGTCTTGGGAGATTAAGAGCTGCTGTTGAGAGAGCTAAAAGGGAATTGTCCTCAACTACTCAAACAACAATCGAGATCGATTGCCTCCTTGAAGGCATTGATTTTACTTCAACCATAACCCGTGCTCGATTTGAGAAGCTGAACATAGATTTATTTAAGAAGTGTGTGGACCTTGTTGACAAGTGTTTGAAGGATGCTAAGATGGAAAAGAGTGATGTTGATGAGGTTGTGCTTGTTGGGGGATCTACTCGTATCCCCAAAGTCCAGCAGATGCTGCTGGACTTCTTTGATGGTAAGGAGCTTTGTAAAGGCATCAATCCTGATGAAGCTGTCGCATCTGGAGCAGCTATTCATGCAGGAATCCTGTGTAATGTAATTGATATTCCTGCCAAGGATATGGTTCTTGTCGATGTTACTCCTCTATCGCTTGGTGTAGAAGTAGGAGGTGGCTATATGTCTGTTGTTATTCCAAGAAACACAACCATCCCTGTCAAACAACAGCGCGTATATGGAGCTGTATCAACAAAGAATGAAGACCCCTCCCCTGTTTTAGAAATTGCTGTGTACGAGGGTGAGAGACCGAAAGTTGAAAACAACAATTACTTGGGAGTTTTTGAGCTGTCTGGCATCAAAACATCTTCCAAAGGTTCTACATTGATAAATGTTTGCTTTGAGATTGATAAAAATGGAATTCTGAATGTGTCAGCTGAGGACACAACCTCTGGGAGTAGGAACGAAATCACGATCACCAACCATAGCAGGCTGTCAACAGAAGAGGTAGAGAAGATGATGAAGGAGGCTGAAGAGTACAATGCTCAGGATAAGGATCATGAGAAGATGATTAAAGCTAAGAACGCGCTGGAGGACTATGCCAATGAGATGTCAGAAATGTTGAGTGATTGTGGGAAGAATATTGCAGCTGAGGATCAAGAGAAGATGACGGATGCCATTGAGGAAACATTGCAGTGGCTAGACTGGAATTCTAAACACATTTATGAGGCTTCAACATATGTGGACAAACTCGAAGAACTTCAGAGTATTTGCAAGCCTATTGTTTCAAAACTGCGTTAAAGTAATGGATGAACCAGTTCTTGTATATTGCCTAGTAAAGCTATGGTGAAGTCTTTTTTCAGTTAGATTAAGATGTGAATCATGAAGTATCTTCTTTGGTTGTTAAAACTTTTTAAGATTATTTTTAGATTGAGATTCCCAGATTATTAGTATTGCAAAAACAATTCATTTAGTGTTCATGTTTTTTTGGACTTTGGAGTATGGTTGTTGATGATATTATGTTTTTTCCCTAAAGCACACCTGGAAGAGTGAAACAAAAACAAGGAGGAAGATCAGGTTAATCATCATCATTGTAGAGTCTAATTATTTTATTTTATTTCATTTTAAATATTGATTCATTTACATTTTTTATTTTATTTTTAAAAGATAAACTTAGTATTTTCTCACAAACAAGATACGGAGTAATTGATTGCTTGACTTTATCCAAATACAATAAAATATAAAAATCTGTATAATTATGTTAGATAATAATAAATTCACCAAAAATAAATGTTAGATAAGAATAGTACATTATTATCTTATAAAGGTTTAGGTTGTTTACAATGTTTAGGTCTTTTAGAAGTTGTTTTCAAAAAAAAAGTTATGCTGGTAATATAGATTCGATACCATTAGCAATCTTTTAAGTTTTGATTATTTTAAAATATAAAAATAAAAAATAGTCAAGCTGACTTATCTTCTTACTATTTTACCCTCACTTACTTTGCCATCAGCCTTATATTTAACCGGCACAAATTTAAAGCTTGAATTTCATTCATCCTATGTTATTCTGCTGCCTCTCTCTCTCACTGTAATTTTAAGTTTTGATAGACAGGAGAATGAAGGGAAAAGTAGGAGAGCCGGAGTGGCCGGTGATAGGAGTCGATCTCGGTACAACATACTCATGTGTTGCAGTTTGGCGTGATAATCGTGTCGAAGTCATAACAAACGATCAGGGTAACCGTACAACACCGTCTTGGGTTGCTTTCAATGACTCCAAACGCCTTATTGGTGAAGCTGCCAACAACCAATTCTTTATCAACGCTACCAATACTATCTTCGGTTTATCCCTTTCTCTCTTATTTTCTTATCTTACTCAATTTAGCTAATTATTAAGTAATAACTTTGTCATTTAACACTTGATTTAGCACTTGTTATCTAATACTGTAGTATTGAAAGTAATCCCGGCCCTATGTTCACTTTTGTTTGCCACAAATTTGTTTTTAGTTAAAGAAAATACAAATTTAATTTAGTTCATTACCTTACTTTTGCTAATATGGTTTGATTAATCTGAACTAATTTTTTCTAATCTGGTTTGAAATAAGTATAATAATAAGATGTTTGAATAAGATGAATTAAACATAACTTAAATCCCACCAATATTTGCGTATTATTATATGTTTGTATGGTTTACACCTAGTCAATGATATATATATATATATATATATATATATATATATATATATATATATATATATATATATATATATTTTTTTTTTTTTTTTATTTTTTTATTTTTTTATTTTTTTTTTTTGTGGAAAAGATTATGTGAAGCAAAAATTGTGGTATAGACTACAGAGTATGTACTACGAAGTACTTCATATAATTCTTTAGGGATTTTTCCTTGTACGTGGGCAGATTCAAACCTGTCAATATATATGCATCAATTGCCATTTGATAATTTCTATCAAGTCTATTTTAAGTTTGCTACTACTAAATTTTTTGTAAAGATGTTCCTTAAGGGATATGTTCATTAAGTTACATAATTTGATTCTTTCGTTACATCAAAATTTTGTTGACAAAAAAGTTAGAACTGTAATAAGCTCCAAAAACTTAAATACTTGTTAAGATCACTGCAACTAAACTTCTAGCTTGTATCATTATTTTATTGTTATTCCTTGCTTCTGTAAAGGATGAAATATGCCATGTTTAAAAATCTCAAATAAAGAATGAATTATGCCATGTTTGAAAATCTCAAAAGATATCAGCTTCAACAATTAAAATTCAGGCCATCTCAAAGTGCTTAGTGAATCGGAATGAACTGATCTTGCACATGTTCATCATTGTTAGCCAAGTCTTTTGTACCATAAGTTTATTATTTTATTATGAATTGCCTGATTATGTGTTTCATCCTTGAACACCTTCTCTACATGTTGATCAATGACAGATACAAAAAGGCTTATTGGTAGAAGATTCAGTGACGAAACTGTACAAAATGACATGAAGTTATGGCCATTTAAGGTTATAGCTAGTACTGCTTCAGATAAGCCGATGATTGTGGTGACTTACAAGAATGAAGAGAAGAGATTTACTCCTGAGGAAGTGTCTTCAATGGTTCTGACGAAGATGAAGGATATTGCTGAGGTTTTCCTGGGCATTTCAGTGAAAAATGCTGTTGTCACAGTTCCTGCATACTTCAATGATTCCCAACGTCAGGCAACTAAAGATGCAGGAACCATTGCAGGGCTCAATGTGGTTCGTATCATCAACGAGCCAACAGCTGCTGCCATGGCTTATGGGCTTGACACAAAAGCTACTAGAAGCAATGCTGCTTCGAAAAATGTTCTAATTTTTGACTTGGGTGGTGGGACATTTGATGTTTCCTTGGTGACCATTGTAAAGGGTGAATTTAAAGTCAGGGCTATAAATGGAGATACTCACCTTGGCGGTGTGGATTTTGACAACCGGCTAATAAATAGTCTCATACAGGAGTTTAAGAGGAAGCACAAAAAAGATATCAGTAAGAATGTTAAGGCTATTGGAAGATTGAGGGCAGCTACAGAGAGAGCCAAAAGAACACTTTCATCGGTTGCTCAAACTAGTATTGTAATAGACTGCCTTTTTGAAGGAATTGATTTTACATCAACCTTAAGTCGTGCACGTTTTGAGAAGCTGAACTTGGATTTGTTTAAGAAATGTGTGGACATTGTCGAAAAGTGCTTACATGATGCCAAGATGGAAAAGCATGAAGTTGATGATATTGTCCTTGTAGGAGGTTCTACCAGAATTCCGAAAGTTGAGCAATTGTTGCAAGGCTTCTTCGATGGGAAGAAATTAAATAAAGGTATTAATCCAGACGAGGCTGTTGCCTATGGTGCTGCTATCCATGCTGCCAATTTGAGTGGTGTCATTAGTAGCAACAACGATTTGGTTCTTGTGGACGTTACACCTTTATCGCTTGGTCTTGAGAATATTGATGATAGCATGTCTGTTGTGATCCCGAGGAATACACCCGTTCCAGTAAACATTACCGTAGGGCGTGAAACTATATTTGATAATCAGACCAATGTGATTTTTCGTGTGTTTGAGGGTGAAAGACTCATCGCAAAAGAAAATAATTTTTTAGGCGAGTTTAGCATTAATGGATTCCCTCCGAAACCAAAAACAGAGACCAAATTTGATGTCACATTTAATGTTGACGTTAATGGCATTCTTAACTTGTATGCGAGGGAAAAAGAGACTGGAATGAGCAACCGCCTCACCATTCTCAATAACAAAGGGCGGCTTTCAAGCATTGAGATAGAGACGATGTTAAAAGAGGCTGAAAAATACAAGGCGCAAGATGAAGAGCATAAGAAGGCAGTGCAAGCTAAGAATGCACTAGAGAGCTACATGAACAATGTGTGGGATGCGTTAGACAATGATGTGAAGATCGAAAATCGGTCCGAGGAGGAGGAAAAGATCATGAAGAAAGCCCTTGAGGAGACGTCACAATGGCTGGAATGTAGTCCTGTTCATGCTAAGGCTTCCGAATATGAGCAAAAACTAAAGGAGCTGGAGAGCATTTGCATGACAGTTGGTAATTAAAGCTTGGACACAACAGCAAATTAAAACGAGAACTCATAGTGAGAAACGAAATTTGTTTCTCATGGGGGCATTTTCGTGAATAAATCAACAACATTTTCATTATTGTGGGCTCCACACTTGAATAAAGTTGTTGGTTTATTTATGAAAATGCTATATGAGAAACAAACACCATGAGAAACTGAGGCATCCTTAATTAAAACTTTCAATTTCATGAATTGCTACTTGAAATTTGAAGTATGCTATATGGATTAGAGCTTTTTTTGTTAGTTCGTTTTAGCTAGAAAATCGAACATTTTCCATGTTTTCAGAAGTTGTTTAATATGAAAAATTTGTCACCTATGGAGCTTGATAATCTTTGGAACTGTCCTGTTGTGATCTCAATATAATTTTGTTTGATTCTTCTGGTTTCTTTTTGTTCTTGCTAGCAACATTTTGGATTGTTGGTAGTAAACATGATGATTCCCGATCTTAATGCTAAGAACGTGTTGGAATACTGTGCTAATGAGATATCGAAAATGTTATGCAATTGTGGGAAGAATATTGCAGCTAAGTAATGCTTAATTTTTTTTAAGGTGTAAAACACATATGTAATGTTGTTAAGAGTTATTCTTTGATTTGAAAGAATTTTGCAATGTGTAGTAAAAAAGGTGAAGGGCTAAAGGCTAGGTTAAAGGAAGTCTTGCTTATGCACTTTGATATAGAAGCGTACCGTGTACATTGTTTGCCAGAAAATTCATGTTTAGGTTTATTTTTAGGGTCTGTTATGTTCACTTTATTTTCACTTATTTCAGGTTTAATAAGTTCAGATAAGTTCAGGGTTAATAAGTTCTAAATTAACGTTCTCCTCACCTTATTTCCACTTATTATATTTATATAGAGTTATTACTAATCAAGATTGCTTTTCACTTTTTTTTTTTTTTTTTTTTTTTTTTTTTTTTTTTTTGTAAAATTTTATGTGTTTTATTATCATGATTTCATATAAGAATAAAGTAACATTTGCATAAAAAAATAAAATTAAAGTAACGTTATACCCATAAGTTATGGTAAGACTAGATAAATTTTGCTTATATAAAAGTTAGGATATTTTGTGAAAAACTACCTTTTAAACTTTGACTTTTGCGAGAAACTACCCTAAAAACAAAATGTTGTAATTAACTACCTTATAAAGTATAAATGTTGTAATTAACTACCTTATAAAGTATAAAATGTTGTAGTTGACTACCTCCCACCGAATAACACATTTGATTATTATTTTCTGGTGTTGACCATGTCATGTGAGGGTCACATGACCCTTTAATGACGTAATTCCCCCCTTTCTCCCAAAATTTCCCGCTTTATACCAACTATTTTCCATAACAATACGATTATTCATATTTTATATTGTTTTTTGCAACCCCTTTGATAATTATTTGGGCTGAATTGGTGTAAAGCGGGAAATTTTGGGGAAAAGAGGGGAATTAAGTCATTAAAGGGTCACGTGACCCTCGCGTGACATGGTCAACGTCGAGAAATAAAAGTCAAATGTGTCATTCCGGTAGAAGGTAGTCAATTACAACGTTTTATATTTTATAAGGTAGTTAATTACAACATTTTGTTTTTAGGGTAGTTTTTCGAAAAATTAGGAGTTTAAAATGTAGTTTTTCAAAAAAAAATCTAAAAGTTAAGCAAATCAACAAGTTTAATATATTCAAAAATGCTAATATTTTCATATTTTATTGCTTTTATTTTAATATATTGTTATAGATATACTCATATTACCAATATGTTACACAATATGTTTCAAGAATGACAAATAATGTCTAATAAAGTCTTATAAGTGTTAATAAGGTTTAATAAGTGAAAATAAGTGTTAATAAGGTGTAATAAGTTCAAATAAGTTCAAATAAGGGTTGGTAAGTTCAGATAAGTAAAAATCAGGTGAATAGAACACACCCTTAGTGTTTTAATTTTAGGTCAATATATGATGTACAATTGGTTGAATTTTGTATATGATCCAACAAAAGATACAGAGTATTTGACATGTGCAAATACATTGTGTGCAAATGGGGTTTTTTATTATTATTTTTATTTTTGGAAAAATATCACATGAAAAATAAAAAAAAGTACTAACCATATCAATGTCGGACAACCCAATAAATGAATTTTTAACTTTTTTTTTCTTCTTAATATGAAGCTTGCTATGCCACATAAGATTAGCTACTTAGCAAATTATAGGACCACTCCAATAATGAACTAATTAGCAAATTAAACTCCAATGATAAGTTTATTAGCAAAAAAAAATAAAAAAAAAATAACTTAAGGAATAGTTATGCTTAATTAGGTATTTTATTGTAAAAAAGTTTCACTGAAGGAATAGTTATGTTTAATTAGGTAAATGGTATAATAAAGAAAATCACATTTCATGTTCTTGTTAATAAAAATTCTGAGTATTTATCGACTGTAAGACTATAATACGGTTTTGATTTTTTTTATTATACTCCCTCTATTTTTTTAAATACATCAGTTTGACCGGCATATTTACACAAAAACAACTATATTTAATTTTGTATTAGTAAAAATTGTAACAAAATTATATTATGAAATTAGATATTATGACTAATTTAATAATATATTATATAATAATATTTATTTATTTTTTATAGGTGTAAATAGTGCAATTGTCAAAGTGATGCATTTTGTTAAAAAAAAAGAGTAGTTTTAAACCATGACTTAGTAATGTAACGGCTGTGTGAGCAAAAACCAATTAATGGGGTTCAAAGGAGAAAAAAAAAAAAAATCTTATAATTGAAGGTTGTTTTCTGAAGATCTGATAAATTGAAATAAATTCATGTGTTGATAATTCTCAATCTACTCGCTATTATTTTCCTATAAATCGTAGACTCGTAGTTGGTTTAGGACTTTTTAACCCTATCCTTATCCTAATAGAGTCTTAGATTTATTTTATTTTATTTTTATTTATTTTTTATTTTACTTTTTTTTTTTTTTTTTTTTTTTTTTTGAGAAAAAGAGTCTTAGATCTAAATTGTGAATTTAAAACCCTTGTTTGGTGTATGAAACCCTTTTTTACTGTTTTTTTTTTTCCTCTCGCTAGAATTCTTGTTCCTATAGTTTCAGTATCACCAGAGATAATGGGACTAGGAAAACCTGAATGGCCGGTGATCGGAATCGATCTCGGTACAACTTACTCTTGTGTTGCTGTTTGGCGTCACAATCGCGTCGAAATCATAACAAACGATCAGGGCAATCGTACTACACCGTCTTGGGTCACCTTCACTGATTCCGGCCGCCTTATTGGTGAAGCTTCCAAGAATCAAGCCTTCATGAACCCCACCAATACTATCTATGGTATGTTTAAATTTCCACTCTTTGTTATGTTATATTTCAATTGCAATCATACATAGTCTTTGAACTTAATTTTTTTATATGTTGATCATTGATAGATGCAAAAAGGCTTATTGGTAAGAAATTCAAAGATGAAACAGTTCAAAACGACATGAAATTGTGGCCGTTTAAGGTTATAGCTTCGGATAATAAAGATAATAAGCCAATGATTGTAACTACCTACAAGGGTGAGGAGAAGAGATTCACACCCGAGGAGATATCTTCGATGGTCCTTTCGAAGATGAAAGATACCGCTGAGTCTTTCCTTGGTATGCCTGTCAAGAATGCTGTTGTTACTGTTCCTGCGTACTTCAATAATTCCCAACGCGAGGCAACAATAGATGCCGGTACCATTGCAGGGCTTAATGTGGTTCGTATCATCAACGAGCCAACAGCTGCTGCCATGGCCTATGGTCTTGACACAAAGGCGGCTGTTGGTAGAATTGGGCGTGCAATCAATGTTCTAGTATTCGACCTTGGTGGTGGGACATTTGATGTTTCCTTGGTAACTATTAAAAAGGGTGAATGTGAAGTTAAAGCTGTAAGAGGCGACACCCACCTTGGCGGAGGGGACTTTGATAACAGAATGGTGAGTTACTTGGCCGAGGAGTTCAAGAGGAAGCACAAATTGGACATCAGTAACGATCCTAAGGCTCTTGGAAGATTAAGGGCTGCTTCTGAGAGAGCCAAAAGGGTACTTTCCTCGACTAGTGAAACTATTGTTACAATTGATAGTCTTTTTAAGGGGATTGATTTTACATCAACTATCACTCGTGCACGTTTTGAGAAGCTAAACTTGGATTTGTTTAGGAATTGTGTGGACACTGTTAAAGAGTGCTTAAGTGATGCCAAGGTAGAAAAACATGAAATCCACGACGTGGTACTTGTCGGTGGATCAACTCGAATCCCAAAGGTTCAGCAGTTGTTGAAGACCTTCTTTGATGGAAAGGAGGTTTGTAAAAGCATGAACCCAGACGAGGCTGTTGCTTATTGAAGGTTCAATGGGCACTCAAGAGGGGGGGGGTGAATTGAGTGTTAAGTAATCGTTGGCTAATTTTGCTTCTTTTCGGATTATGTGTGAGGAACCAGTTGTGCTGGTTCCCGTACGCAGCGGAATATAAATAAGCAATAAAGAAGACAACAAATTTAACGAGGTTCAGCCAACTCAGGCCTACGTCCTCCTATCCTAAGTTCTTTATTAATCTACTCCGAAAAACAAAGACAAAGAACACTCTGCTGTTTCCCTACTCCGGGAACCAGCAAACCCCACACTCTACTCCGAGTGTGCTCTCGACTTACACTCGTAAGCCCAATGTGTTTGAACTCACAAACACTCACCCAGCCTTTAACCCCTTTGTTAAAGACTCAATACAAGAATCAAGAACTCTCCTTTGATCTCACTTCTACGAAGCTAATTAAGAGAAAATGTTTTTGTACTAGAATGCTCTTGTATATGACTTGATGAATGGGATTAGTGCTTAAGTATATGCTCTCAAATAATTGCTCTTTTTAATTTCTGGAGAGGCACACGAAATATGTGAAATAAGATGAGTTTATATAAGCTTAGATTCCTAAAACCTAGTTTCCTTAAATCACACAATCTTAGAGAATAAGATATATTGTAATTTTAGGAAAGTATTTATCTTATTTGATTTAATCACAAAGA